GAGAGGACAAGTTTCCCTAAGCAAAATAGTGTTTTACTGTTTATGCCCAAAGGGCATGAGGCGAAAACCATCGTTATTAGCCGCATAGCTCTTACCTCCATTCTGCAGATTCAATGGCTCGCTGACTTTCGAGAGTTAAATCATTCGAATCTAGGTTGCTTCTCGTGTTAGTTACATTTTACATTTCAACAGTTGCTTGGACAGCGTACTACACACAAACGACCTGTTGTCATCTTCTTGGCTTAAGAGTCGCGTTTCGTTCCGTTGATCGGATCTGCATGTATCCCTACAGACTGATGAAGGAAGCAATCGTCATACTTTGCTGCAAATTTAAACCCCTGTATGGCATTCCCGTGAACCCTATCACGGATTCTTGTGATAAGCGGAACTCATCAGTTCTGCTTCCTTCCTCCGTTCCTCTTTTGGACGGTTCCAAGCATGTTCTCTTCTGGAGTGGAGGCTCTGCTATGTGAATGACTGAGGGTTTATGGATCTCTTTTTAAACTGTATCTGTCATATCCTCATTGCCTTCGTATTAAGGCTATTGAGTCATAGGCTCCAGAAGGATTCCCTCAAGCGAACCTCCATGCACCCCACTGCCTTGTGGGTCAGAATGTTGAGTCTAAGTTTAGAGGTTAAGGCACCTCGAACGAAATTCCTCTTTCGGAATGGTTAGCAGGACAGTATCATCCGTCGTCGCGACCACATCGAAAATAGTCCCTTTTCTTTTTCTCTCTCTCACTTATCTATTGAGCAAAAGACTGCCGCTAACCTCGCAGCTGATGCCATCGATACATGTAGGTCTTGCAACAAATCTAGACTTTCATTCCACATTAGTTTTTTTTAACTTCCTCACTCTATGCATGTTGACCAGAAGGTAGTACTGCCTCACTCTTCACTCTCTTTGTATTGATGTGTGCTGTCTCCGGAACATGCATACAAGATAACAACGTTGTGACAAATCTTCGACTTCCTGGCCCTGAGTCTGACGACAATGGCTACACTCTTCGCGTCTCTTGCGACACTGTGTCGATGGCATTTGCGGTGTTGCCCTTAGCAAACTGAAAACATTCTAAATAAGACAATGAGAAGACTAGTATTGCGAGATGGAACCATTTCATGTTATCTGCTCACTCCCATACTAACAACAGATATTAGTCTTCTCATTGTCTTATGTAGAATGATAAAGGGAACTCAGTGCTTTAAACTGAAAACGATCTACTCGGATACATACTGATGAACAGCCTCAAGTCTGCAGTTCGACTTTTAGCCCCTATTGAAGATAATAAGCACCGTATGAAGGCAAGGTGCCTTTTCATCGTCTCAATTTATGCACCTATTGAATGCAGTTCAGAGTGTATCAAAGATGATTTCTATCAACTGCTCTCATCTCTTCTTCGCATGCGAAGAATACTGACATCGTGCTTGTTGCTGGTGACCTAAATACCCAAGTGAGCCGTCTTTTAGACTCTGAACAACACCTGAGAGGCCGCTTCGGAGTCGACGCACGCCGAATCGATTCCTGCAACCGTGCGCCGACCACAACTTTACCTAAGCAATACTGCTTTCCAGTACAAATGTTCCCACCGCATCATCTGATGCCCACCGAATTCCTCCATGATTTGGACCAACATTGACTATGTTGCCATCAGCTGTAGATGGCGCACATCAGTCTAAGACTGTCGGTCAACTTAGAGCACGTGCCTGGGTTCCGACCATGCTCTAGTGCGCGCACGCTTGCTGATCATTCTTCCGCTTCAAGGAATTGCCTATCTTCTAATCTTCTTACCTGTAACGAACTCACAAACAACAAAAATACCATGACTAATTGGCCCACCGATTGTCGATGAATAATGAGGTTGGTGATTCGTACACTGACTGGGGTGGTCTCAAATGTGCCATGAAGAATGCCTTTGAGACTTGTTGTGCACCCAACTTGAGAGGTCGTAACTGTGAATGGGTCTCTGAGGCATCGATCAGGTTGATCGAGGCAGTGAAACAGGTTCCGATTGGCACTGTTTCAGCATGTCAGTAGCTTTCTGAAACGACGTTTGACGAGGAGTCTTCGAGTTGACCTGGAATGTTGGTGGATGGCAAGGGCCCGTGAGATGGAGAAAGTCGGTGCTGTCGGGAGCAGCCGAGTGCTACTCCAGCTCATTCGGAACACGGGTTCGAGAAAACCATCAGTTAGCGGTACAACAGCTGAAAGGACATCAACAGTAGGCCGGTACGCAGTACCGTTGCTTCCCTGCCACGCGGTCAGCACTGGTCGCACGTGGCATTAGGATATTGCGTGGGTCGCCCAGTTCCTACGCAGACTTGGATTCGCGCCGTCAGATTACTTAACCTGCTCTTTACCTTTGGGCTACTAGCTGGCAATACCTGATAATGGCGGATAGTTGATTAATTCTCGGAGTCGTCGACTAACCCGTCGGGCGGAACATTCCGGAGTGCACTTCAACAGACCTGCTGCGACACTGTCGCTTGTCGAGTAGTCTGAGCCGATGTGGGAAGTAGATGTCACACCTTCCACTTTCGAATAGATTCGTCTTGAGCTTTCCTTGTTGTAACGAAACAAGGCTTCTGGACCCGACGACATTCCTCCACTTTTGCTGAAAGATGGCGGTGACTCCTTGTTGACTGGATTGACTTCTATTTAACACGATTTGGAGCAGTAAACAGGGGCTTTCGAACTGGCGACTGTCAACTCTCATGCCCATCTTCAAGAAGGATCATCTTTGTACGAAAATTATCGAGGCATTATCCTTGTTTCCGTTGCGGTATTATTCTCCGATGACTATGTGGGAATTGAATCACCGAAAGCCAGGCTGACTTCCGCCTTGGTCGTGGTTGTGTTGATGTTGAGAAAAGCTCGTTTCCCAAGAACTAGACTAGAATCAGCCAAAACCATGAACTTCAAGTTACCTACCATTTTTGTTTTTTAGCGATGCGCCCTATCTGTTCCCGCTTCAAACGAGCCTTGTGATTGGCTGATTTGGAAAGGCCGTTGAGTGACCTAACCCATCATGAGTCTTCACTTCTGGTGTTCTGTCTTGGCTTGTGAATAGATCTCGTGTTTGGGGTCTTGTCTTCTTCCCGTCCAGGTTGGTGCCGCATTTGTGTTGTATTCGGGATTCTGTGCCGTGATTTCATTGTGTGTTCAATGTTCGTTCCGAATTGCGTTAGTGGTTATTGTATCGCAACAGTTGACCACCTAGACCAGAGACGCACGTACAGACGACCGACTATGGTGGTCTTCCTTGACTTGAAAGCCGCTTTCCACTCTGTTGACCGCGCCAGCTTGTGGCACTGCCTATCCATGAAAAGCGTGCCGGCTGATTTACTTTCTATTATGCTGTCTCTCTACTGTGATTTCCGAGGCCGTGTAAGGGTTTACGGTAAACTGTCACCTGAGTTCCCCACAACAAGTGGGATTCGCCAGCGTTATTCTCTATCTCCTTTCCTCTTCAACTTTGTTATCGGAATGATCATCGTGACTCCGTTGTTACAGACTCTACCGGAGTGGAAGTTCTGCCAGATGACGGACTGACAAATCTGGAGTATGTGGACGACATAGTTCTCCTTGGGTCTGAAGCAATGGCTATGCAACCACTACTGGATCGACTGACGCGTAGCGCTGCACGCTTCGGCTTGTACTTTGCACCTTCAAAGCGCACTATACTGCTGTGGGACTGGACGGACACACTTCCGGTTCTAGCTATCACCGAACAGCGACTGGAAGTGGCGGATCGTTTCACTTGCCTTGGTAGCTGTGTCACCTCTGGTGGTCATGTCACTGAGGAAGTTACTTCGCGTGCCAGTAAGGCCCGAGTGGCTTTCCAGATACTCAACCATCTATGGAGACGGTTGGATATCAGCTTGTCAGTGAAATGCAGTGTGTATAACGCTGCGAGAAGGCCTGCGTTACTGTATGGATCAGAGACCTGGTCGGTTCGCAGTGAAGACCGTGTTTGACCACCGGTGCTAGCGAAGTTTTGCTTACGTTTGGTGGGAACACCGAGTGGGCAATGCTGCGGTCCGCCAGTTGGTTTTTGGCAAGAAGCCTGCTGGTGGTTCTGTCTAATGTTTAGTAAATCTTAGTCGTTTGCGTTGGCTAAGCCCTGTCCTCTGTATGCCCGTTGACCGGATTCCTCTGCGTGCATTATACGCCGTGGCTGCACCAAGTTGGCTGAAACCACTAGGTGGTTAATCGATGGTGTGGCATATAGGCATGAAGAAATCGACCGAGATTCTTAGTCAGTTTGGCGCATTCCGTCTTCGTGGATTGTAGCCCCTTAACTGTCCACGCCTGTGGTTAGAAACCCTGTCGGACGTAGCAGTCAGTGGCTTTTCTGCATTCGGTTTCTTGCATCTAGCCGTTAAATTTCATTTCAGACCGATGAGTTTAACGCATTTTCTTCTTTATTGCCTTCTATTTACATAAAACCATTTTCTTGCTGCTGTTATCCTGGCCGCATGAGTCGTGTCAACTGGATCCAACACACCTCAGTCCCCGATTCATAGTTGCTCTAAACTAGCCTGTACTGATGGGCTCCCCGAGTTTTTCTCCATCGCGCGACCGCCACGTTTGCTGCGCCTCTTTTCCATCGTTACCTTCGTCCATCCTTTTCATAGCTAAAACAGCGAACGTTTTCTGTTCAAAACAGATATTTCTGTTTATCTATCTACTTTTTGAACCGCAATCTGGGCGCCAGCTGTGCTCACTGAGCAGAAGATAAACGCTTGGTACGACGGTTAGAAATTCATTGCTGTTTTGGAGTACCCATTGTACGTTTGGATTGTGATGGACAGTAATTATGTGCTGCTGTAACATTTACCGTCCACCCTCATTATAGTCTAGAAATTGAAGCTGTGCTATGCTCGCAGTCTGTTGTGAGTCCGCCTCATTAAGCAGCTAATTGTGATGATACTACCTGTTCATCTCGTGCAAAATGTCGAAGTACACTTATTGGCTCTGCTTCAGTATTCCCTGTACCTTGATGTTATACTCAAATAGTGTGAACATGGGATATTCTTTCTCCTCCACCATTGTAACATATTCGCAGTACATTACGTTCGTTACCTGGCATGCTTTTCTTTTGTCTCAGCTGTTCCTAGTCAAGCTTTCATCTGGCTCTATTTATTCCAGCTTGCACGATCATCAGGTTGATATGGGTAAGCTACAAAAGCTGGACAACAGGATTCAACTTATATTGCAAAATGGTGTTCGAGATAAGCACCGAACTGTTTTTGTCATGATTGGTAGTAAGAGCCAAGATCAAGTGAGTACCACTTCTTGGTACCATTTTAACCGTACCACAGGTTCCCATAATGCACCAGATTTTGAATTCGCTTTTCAATAAAGGCCGACTCAGTTTGCTCTGGTGCTACAAGAAAGAATTGTCCTTCAGCACGTAGGCTTTCATTATAACTCACTTTCCACGGTATGTTATAGACATCGGAAAAAGAATTTGAAACTGTTGAAGTTTGTTTTATTTATATCTTACTTTGTTTGTATAGTAAACGACGGAAAGCAGGATTTACGAGCGATGCAACGATATTTGAGCAGTTTATTTGTACTACGGATATCCGCTGGTGCTACTATCACGAATCGCACAAAATTCTTGGCCAGACGTTCGACATGTGTATTTTGCAAGACTTCGAGGCACTGACCCCTAATACCATTGCCCGGACTATTGAAACAGTGACCGGAGGCGGATTGATCATCTTTTTGCTCAGCTCAATGGATTCGCTGCGACAGTTATGCACAATGACAATGGTCCGTTTCTGTGCACTTTATTAAAAATTTACGAACTGTTTCCAGGATGTTCATTCACGCTACCGCACTGAAGCTCACGGCGATGTGGTTTGTCGTTTCAACGAACGATTTCTTTTGTCCCTAGCGAACAACTACCGTTGTCTGGTGTTGGACGATCGTTGGCAAGTACTACCGCTTTCCAAAAAGGTCCTGAACAGCATCCAGTCAAAAAATCGTACGGATCATTCCTCTTTTACAGACGAACAAGATGAACTCTCGAAGCTGAAGGAAAGTCCTTTTCTCCCCCTGCATTTCTCGGTCGTAACAGTCTTTTCTCACAGTATCCTACCACGCATCTGTGTTTTCTTCCATTGGTGCTAAGCTTTACAGTACATCCTCAAGTGACACGTTTTGTAGCCTTTGGTATGTGCCGACTGATTTGGATAAAATTCGACACTGCACCATGATTTTAGCTCACCTTTTTGTTGTGCAGTCTTACCAGTACCTGTAAAGGCAATCAAATTACCGCAGTTTCTAAAACTCCGGGATTTCTCAGCAATGTTCCAAAAGCCCCCACTTACATTATCACATATTTGTACGCACGGGCTTTGATTTCTGCTGCGAGATAGTTTTTCATATTAACCTTCCACTCTGGGAAGCTACTTTCTTAGCCTTGACTAACTGACGCACTTTTCGGTATCGATTTAATATAATTCCTTTGCTCCTTATAGACTGCCCTAACTGAGGACGGCTCACCATTTGCGCCACTTGTGAAGTTGTGTGTTACTTTAGACCAGGCTCGTGGTCTCGTGCAGTTTTGTGCGTCTATAGCATCCACATATCAGACACCTGGCTCTTCTAAGCTCTCCGCCAACGAACGCGCGTCGCTCATTAACTCACTTCTCGACGCTGCAGGAGCCCTACCCGTCCAAGTCAATTCGGCTCGGGCTGTCGTGATCGTCACTGCTAGTCGAGGGCGCGGAAAGTCCGCTGCGCTTGGCTTGGGACTTGCTGCCGCATTCGAAGCCGGATTGCCAAATATGTACGTCACTGCCCCGAGCCCTGAGAATCTGCATACATTGATGCACTTCACCATACGTGGTCTCAGCGCATTCGGTCACGAAGAACATCACGATTATGTGGTTACCCGTTCTAGCGATCCGGAACACAATCGGGCTGTCATTCGTATTGAAGTTCATCGTCAGACTCACCGTCAAACGTTGGTCTACCTATCCCCGTGGGAACTAGCTAGTCATTTAACTGGCGGTGGTCAAAATGCGGATTTGGTCTGTATTGATGAGGCTGCGGCTATTCCTATCACCATTGTGCGGATGCTTCTGATTGATCCACGACTGGTTTTTATGGCTTCCACAATTAATGGCTACGAAGGCACAGGTCGATCGTTATCCCTCAAGTTGATCAAAGAGCTACGCAGCGAGTGTCGAGTTTCGGAAGCCAGTCTACGTGTCCAGCCAAAGCCGACTACCACAACTGGGGTTTACGACGCTACTGCGGCTATCCAAAAGTCCGGAGAGGCACCGCTTGGAAATGGTCTACGCTGGGGTAAGTGCCCGCCCTCTCCTCCATCGTAAGCTCACTTCTCGATACAAGACTTGCATTCTGAGGACAACATAGTATAGTGCAAAAAATACTATTTTTGTATCTGGGTGGTCTGAAAGTAGACTCGGTATTAGCATTCGGAATTTTCTTCTCCTTAATCAATGCGTAACGGTCTCGAAATCAATTCCCAGCTTCATTTTTGATATTAGTCGTTTCTTCTCATCTCTGTTGGATATGTGTGACTTAACAAGTCCCTGTATATTTGCAACGTGGACCATTGCAACCGAACCCACCGCGCTTTAGCATCACGACCACAGCTGACTACCCAGACTAGATCGGACATACTGTCATTCAGACGACGATCCGGACAAGGTAGAATATCCTGCTATCGGCCGTTGCGTATATCTTCACATTTGTTGCCATTTGTGGCCAGGTGTTCCTCTCGGAGCCATCAACGAACTTATCAAAGCTGGTGTAGACCGACTATCGCTTTCAGAGAGTGGCAAAGCCTTTGATACCATCGTCTACCTGTGGAACTTTCCACATACTGTCAACTCTTATTTTATCGCCAATTCAAATACCGTGCTTGTTATGGATGTCATGCGCCTCATGACTTTGTTCGTTTCTTTTTCGGTTACGCCTAATGTAGTGTTTTGCATTCATGCTCTGAACTCTGCCCAGTCATTGTGCTTTCACACTTTATCAGCATTGACGTTACCCTCTAATTTCTCTACCCAATTTCTTCAATTTCCCCCCTATCAGCGGATACATCCCGTGTTCTTTACGAAGTTACGCTGACAGAAGCAATCCGCTACGCTAACGGCGATCCCGTGGAAGCCTGGCTGACCGAACTTCTCTGTTTGGATTGTGGCTCCAGCATCGTGCATGATGATGGCGTCAATTCGGGAGCATACTATCCACCCGTAGATCAGTGTCAGCTATATTATGTCAATCGCGATACGCTGTTTGCTTACCACAAGTCTACTGAAGTTTTCCTCCATCGCTTAATGGCACTATACGTGGCTTCACACTACAAAAACTCTCCAAATGATTTGCAATTGCTCTCGGATGCTCCTGCCCACCACATTTTTTGCCTCCTTGCCCCTTATGATCCAGACTCAGGGAAAGTCCCGGAGATTTTATGCGTGCTTCAAGTATGTTTGGAAGGTCGCATAAACAAAGATCGAGTGTTGCGTGGTTTGTCTCGTGGTCTAAGGCCATCCGGTGACCTCATCCCTTGGACAATCAGTCAACATGTGAGTTTGATTTTCGTCAAACGTTTGTTACCTGCATTTCTATCTCAGGCAATAACAGTATCTCACGAATACGCGTCTGGTTTTTAGAACCCTATAATTCTCACCGCTTGTCCAATCCGTAGTAGCCGTACAATTTCTCAGCTTTGCTCACCACGTTTTCTTTTTCACTCAAACCCACGTGTTTCATTTTCGACCTTTTTGCTTGTTCCGCTCTCAGCAAGTGGCGTATATTCCCCTGTGTCTGTGTGGGTTGCTTACCGCTAACTTCGGTATTCCCATACCTCACAAATTTGTCACTCGATCGAAGTCTAAGGCATCGGACGCGTGCACATGGTTTTCAGTGCATCATCACCTAAGGCGAAGTATTTTCAGTTTCAATTTCTTCAATGCCGCTATCGAAAATAAAATACCTAACCTGTTTCACTATTAGTGATCTCAGTAAAGTGACACCAAATTCACTAGGACACTTGGGGACCTTTTAACGACTTCAAACGAACATTTAGACTAGAAGGGTTATTTTAGAAGAACAACAGATAACACTAAGTTGCGTTGGCTTGGGCATATACTAGGTCTTCCTGGTCACCGCTTACCGAGAATGGCCTCGTTTTGTCTGCGAGATGTAAGGTGACGCAAGACTCGAGGTGGACAAAGTTGACTTGGCAGTGTGAAACGAAGTTGTTGACGAGCAAACTTGGTGCCGTCGGTCCGTCTCACCTTCGGGACTGGAGTCCACCTGACCCACCTTGTGCTTCGTTCGAGACTTCAATGATGATGATAATGACCACTGTCAGCTGCCTGGCACCTTTTGTGTTAAAGTCCATCCGCCTGCACTCCCACTTGTACAAGCTTTCCTTCATCATCATCAACAGCAGTACATCAGCCATTTGAACTGGTGCATCGCTGCCATCCAACCATGAGGACCTATGAAATAAAGAATAAGAAGAGGGAGAGAAGGGGGACTTACCTGAAAACCTTAATGCCCTAAGCAAACATTCTGGGTCAAGGCGCCTACACCTTGTGTAGACAACATTCCGTCACAAACAGCTGGCTATCGTGCAAAGATAAGGCGGCATCGGCGAGACAGCTTCCTTGCGGCTTTCACTGCCCCGCGTCATAATCAGCCATTAACCCGCAGATAACTCAGCACCAAACACACTTCAAACAGACAATCCGATTAGGAGACGGCAGCAGACGCGCAACTGGTGTCGGTTGCGAGCCATGTCCTGTAAAGTCTCGAGCCAAGCACAAGGTGAGTCACGTGGACTCCAACCCGGAAGGCGAGACGGACCAACGGCACCCAGTTTAGTTGTCAGTGACTTCATTTCCCGCTGCTAAGTCAACTTCTGTCCACCTCGAGCCTTGCGCCATCCTACACCTGGTAGACTGAACAAGGCCCTCCTAGGTAAGCGTTGACCAGGCATGCGTAGCACGTGCCAGAGCCAACGCAACTTATTCAGCGCTATCTGTTGTTCTAGGGAGCTAGCATGATTATCACCACCTAGTACTCGCCTACGCACATCATCGTTGCGGACACGCTGGTGCCATTCGACACCAGCAATGCTTCGCAAACAACGATGATCACAGACTTGAAGGCGCCTCAAATCTTCAGACCGAAGGGTCCAAGTTTCACTACCATAGAGCAGAACGGCCCTCACTGTGGCCTTGTATACACGGCCTTTCAGACGGAGAGAAACTCCCTTCTGTCGCCAAAGATAACGCAGGTTCAAGAAGGCAGCTCTGGCCTTTGCAATGCGTGAGCTCACGTCAGTTTCTATGCGCCCATCATTGCTGATGCAGCTGCCAAGATAAGTGAATTGATCAACCACCTCGAGTTCCTCGTTAGCAAGCGTCAAGGGGTCATCAAGTGGCTGATGGTCCTGCAGGAACACTTTGCACTTTGAAGGTGCGAAGTGCATACCAAATAATGGAACCACTCTGGACAGGCTATTCAGGGTTGATTGTGCCGCCTCAACATTGTCGAAAAGCAAGACGATATCGTCCGCATAATCTAGATCAACTAACCTTTCACCAGGCAGCACTTCAACGCCTACATCATGAGATTCCGCAAGGGAACACTCCATGATAGAATCCACGACGAAATTGAACAAAAACGGGGAAATCGGACAACCCTGACGAACGCCACTTGTAGTCGAAAAGCTATCCGATAGGGCACCATAGACCCTGACGCGGCCTCTAGTGTTCGAGTATAGCGCACGAAGGATGTTCACATATTTCTTGGGAACACCTTTTCGTGCAAGTAATTCGAACAGAATAGATCGATCGACTGAATCGAACGCACTCTTGAAATCGAGGAACATAGCTATTGTCGGTCTGCGGTATGCGTGGCGCTGCTCTAGCACCTGCCGCAAAGTAAATATATGGTCTATACAGCCACGTCCTGGGCGAAAACCAGCCTGCTCTTCCCTAATCTGAGATTCCCGTTCTGCATTGAGGCGACGAACGATAATCGAGGCCAGTAATTTTGTCCCAACTGGCGTTATGCTAATACCCCTGTGGTTCGCACAGTCTGTGCGACTGCCCTTCTTGTATATTGCCACTATAATCGATTCTCTCCAATTAGCTGGCACACTCATCGTTCCAGATACGTTCGAATAGGGAGGTCAGTGCCCTGCAGAAGACCTCACCTGCATCCTTAAATAGTGCAGGTGGGAGGGAATCCGGGCCAGCGGCGCGAAAACGATTGAGGGCTGTGATCGCGTTTCGGACCTCGGCCTCCGACGGAGGCTCTAAATTAACCGTCCATGGCACGTCCTGCATCACCTGAGTAGGAAGAGGTCCGGGAGCAGGGGGCCAGCTGAACTGATCTTGAAAGTGTTCAGCCCAACGAGCCATACGGCGCTCCTTATTGTGTATTAGCGCACCCGCACTGTCTCTGATTGTCTCACTGACGCCTGGTTTTCTGGGACCAGTGGTGCGGATTAGCTGGAAGAGCTTGCGGTAATTGCCTACTGCTCCTGCTTTCTCCACAATTGTTCACCTATGGTCTCGTGTTCTTTTGACTCTAAATGGGAATTTTCAAGTTACTTTCTCCATTTCTTGAGCCCTGCTGGTCCACCAGGCTTCCTTGTCAGCACTTAGGCTCCGCTTTAGTTCACGCCTAATAGCCCGTCTGGTCACATTGTGTTCAGAACCGGCCGGGAGGTGTCTTCTAGCTTCCAACAGGTTCACGGACCTCTCGGATATCCAGTGACTGGTGCGGTGACGACTGATAGTGCCACAAACAGATGCTCATGCGTCGTGCATAGCGGCCGAGATTCTATTCCACCGAATCTCAGTGTCATTGGGACAAGACAGCGAGAGTTCGCTATGCAGTGCCTCTTGATAGGCTTGCCTGACAGAGGGCTTGGACAATTTCTCCGTTGCCAATCGGGGGGAGGCGCTTTGTGCGCCTTCCGGTAAAGTTCATGGAGAAACGACAGCGTACCAAGGCATGGTCAGAGTCGACACAGGTACTCCAGTACGAGCGGCAATCCAGAATGGAACCGCGCCACCTGTAACTTGTGGCTATGTGGTCAATTTGGGTCCATCGCTGGCCAGCTACAGGTGGACGCCAAGTGGCACTTCGGCGCCCACTGTGTCTAAAAGCAGTGCTAGTAAGAAACAACTGGTGCTCCGCACACAGTTGCAGCAGACGCTCGCCGTTGTCAGTCCGTTCGGCGTTAAGTCCATACTTACCACCCAGCTGAGCTTCTGAAGAGCTCAGACGCCCTACTTGTGCGTTCATATCCCCTGCAAGTACTATAATATCTGAACTAGTAGTACTGCGTAGCAGCGTGTTCAGTTGGTGATAGAAAGTGTCCTTGACTGCATTAGAACTGCAGTCGGTGGCAGCATAAGCAAAAATCACAAACAAACAGCGTTTTGTTTTACTTCGCGAATTCACCTTAGCTGATGTCGTCAAACGGGCTGCACATAAACGACTGTTCACCGGAATCCAATCAACCAACGATGGTTCAGCCTTGCAGCTGAGAATGATACCTACACCAGCTTGACGGGTGAGTGCCGCATCGGCGTCTCCGGATGCGTGCAACCAATAACGAGAGGATAAGCCGGGTGCAGTCAATTCAATAACCCCGTTAGGGTCATTAATCCTAGTTTCGGACACACAACACACATCAACACCCAGTGTGTCCAAGGTGTGTGCGAGTGCAGTCTGCTGACCTGTTTGTCTTAGAGTGCGGACGTTGAATGTCGCCATGGAAACGGGACAGCGTGGCCTTATAAGGGACTTTCGCCGATAGGTGTGGTGGGATGGTGGCTGCAGACGGTACTACTCCAATAGCACTTCGGCTGCTGTCAATTAAGCTGGGAATTATAGAAGGAAGGTTGGCTGTGGGGGCCGGGATGGGAGTAAGAGAAAAAGGTCATCTTCTCCGACCTCCTTCAAATAGACTGCTGCCTGTTTACACCGTCGATAACGATATTCAGACAGTTTTGGCTTCATCGTTAGCCAGCTTATTTATGCCTAACCGTTTTTCAACCACTGCACGGTGAGTTATCGAAAACGCTTCTACGTGCTGTTACTTTCGCGTAGTATTTTTTAGCGCTTCTCCGTATCGTCTTACCGTCTTCTAAAGTTTACCACCTTTGGTTGTCGAACACAAGACGGTCATCAGTCCGATGTGCAACCGGCTGCTCATGTGACAGTTGTACACATTTTCTACTTGATTTTGGGCAATTCCTTAATTCCTCCGCATTGATAATGTACATGTTGAGAACGCACACATTTGTGACTATTAAACTAGTTTTTACTTGACCTGATTTCATTTTCAGTTTTGTGAAGCGCATGCTAGCCGTGGCTTGTAACATAACCAATGGTTGTGCGCTAACTGAACTTCGTTCCCTCTTTAGCCTCTTCACAGTCCATGTTCCTCATTGATCTCTCAGCACCAATCATTTCATTCTCTGTCGGTATATTAACTGTTCTATTTCTGATCACATTTTCAGTTCTGCGACTCTGAATTCGGTGAGTTGTCTGGTGCTCGCATTGTGCGGATCGCAACACATCCAGACTACCAGAACCTTGGTTATGGTACCCGTGCCCTGAATTTGCTCCACGATTATTACGGCGGCAAATTGGTGAGTATCGACACTCGGAGTTCATGGTTGCGTAGTCAACATTCCTTCTTGCCATTCATTTCGCCACTTTCTACTGTCCTTTTCCTGAGTGTTCCTTTGCCTTGCACATTTTGCAGTTGCATCTCAGTCTAACTGATGGTTTCGACTCCTTCCCATCTAGCTTGGTAAAGACAGGTTGCGACATGCAATTTTTGACCCCACCTTAACCTCTACGATAGCTTTATATGGTCAACGAAGGATGCCTGCATGGTCTGCTTCGTGTCTGCACAACGCGCGCTCTTGGAGTAAAGCAGTGCCGCCGCAGGCTTGCGCAGCATCTCTAACGGCCTCATCTACGAAATCCACATCCGATGTAATCTTTGAGGATTACCACCGGCATCCTTGCTGGTGAAAAATGAAATGTGTCAGCTTATACACCGTAACGGTGCTTCGCTGCCGCGCGACCACCACCAGTCGCGCACGGGCTGAGTATACCGCGAGGACGCCCACCCATACGCGGATTCGAACCGGTGACCTTATGGTTGCAAAGCAAACGTGCAGACCACTCGGCCACCGACCAAGTGGTGAGGATATAACTGTTTCGTTACCTATGCTCGCCTCATCAGTCCTCGTACTACTGCGTCTGTAAGAATACAGACAATTCAGACGGCTACTTGCGTTTATGAGATTTGGCAATTTAAATAACGCTCGCGTTCTGGAATTGTGTCTCCGATCATCAATGGGCATGCTGGTCACAATACTCGGTCGATGGTCCGCCGAGGATGTCGAAAATGTTTCATAGATAAGACATACCACCACCAACAGATCCCGAACATCTGTTGTAGAACCTTACCGATGAACAGTGATCACCCACAGTGAAGGAGACAAGTTTCCCTAAGCAAAATAGTGTTCTACCGTTTATGTCCAAAGGCGAAAACCATCGTTATTAGCCGCATAGCTCTTACCTCCATTCTCCAGATTCAATGGCTCGCTGGCTTCCGAGGGTTAAAGCAACAAACTCTGGATTGCTTCTTATGTTGGCTGCATCGTACATTTCAACAGTTACTACACACAAACGACCTATTGTCATCTTCCTCCTTGGCTTAAGAGTCGCGTTTCGTTCCGTTGATCGGATCTGCATGTATCCCTACAAACTGATGGAGGTAGTAATCGTCATATTTTGTTGTATATTGGAACCTTTGTATTGCGTTCCCATGAGCGGTATCCCGAGTTCTTTCTGATAAGTGGAACTCATCAGGTTTACTTCCTTTCCCCATTCCTCTTCTGGACGTTTCCCAGCATGTTCTCTTCTGGAGTGGAGGCTGTGCTATGTGAATAGCTGTGGGTTTATTTATATCCTTTAAGCTGTATCTGTGTTACCCCCTCCCCACTGCCTTGTGGGTCAGGCTATGGAGCGAAAGGCTTTGAGTGGAGTCCCTCAAGCGAACCTCCATGCACCGCACTGCCTTGTTGATCAGACTTTTGAGTCATAATCCAGAAGGCTGGGCACAAAACCCTTCTCTCGGAATGGGCAGCCGGAGAGTATTACCTGCCCTCGCAACCACGTTGACGAAACTCTCTTCCTTTTCTTGTTTTTTCTCTCTCCTGTCCCGTCTCTTCCCTGTCTATTAAGCTAGAGACTGCCACTGATTTCGCGGCTGCTGCCATCGATACATGTAACTCTTGCATCAAACCTAGAGTTTCATTCCATATTGGTTCCTCTAACGTCCCAACTCTAGTCATATTGGCCAGAAGGCAGCACTGACTCTTACTCTTCATTCTCTTGGTAATGATGTGTGCTATGTCTCCGGAACACACATATAAGATAACAGCGTTGTGACATCTTCGATTCCGTGGTTCTGAATCTGACGACGATGGCTACAGTCTTCGCGTCTCTTGCGATACTGAGTCGATGGGTCAGGACATTTATGGTGGTGTCCTCAACAGGCTTGCTGAAGGTAATCTCGTTTTTCCATTTGTAGCTAATGTGTACAAGCTACCAGACTGAATGTCGGTGAACATTTTCAAAAGCTGCTTCTTCAGCAACAATCCCAGATGGAAGCACAAGTGAAACTGATTGAAAGTTTAACGCAGTGCTTAAACGTACAATCAAACGGAGCAGGTACACGGGACACGCAGGCTGTTTCACTTGATCTTCTTACGAATTCAATCACTGAATTTCATTATGATGCTGATTCCGAATCCGCTTTCGAGGCGTGGTTCAAACGTTGGGAGGATATGTTCCAGACGGATTTCAGCCGTCAAGATGATC